ATGATGGCGTAGATATCATCTCTCTGGCATCCAACCGATAATGGATATTATACGGTGTGTATGTGCTGGCGTGGTAATAAGCCATCGGAGCTTATCCGTGGATCCGCCTGGGATTGGCCAATTAATTGATAGCGCCTACCAAATGCAAATGCCAACCGGCACCAAGATCGGTATACATGATATGGGGAATATGGATAAGCTAGAGACTGAGACTTAGACTCCGAGATATTGTCAACGTTTGAGAAACGCCAACGCTTGGATTCGATCGGATGCTGGAGATCCGAATCTTCCGATCTTCTGGCTGCTTTCGGTAGCCGTCACTCCCACGGACACCACCTATCCATCCGCCTATATGCCACCCACCTCCCGCCAGTCACCCGCTAGCCTGCACAGCAAGAAAATGCTAGTGATAACTACACAATAAAAATATATATATATTTAATGAGGGGATATAGAGTAAACTCTATGAAGGGCATAAAATATTAACCCTTGTTGAGAGGAAAGGTATAAATAGAAATATTTCGATATTTTATGTGCATTAAATCGATTTACTTTTAAATATATCGAATTAATGTAATCGGAAAATAATACAACTTAAGAATATAACATTTGAAGAGTTATTTTAAGTTGGTGTATATATATATATTTCGATATTTTATCTGAATTAAATTAATATTATGTATATATACATATAATATCTTTAAGAAGAGTGGATAAAGAACTCTATGAAGGAGAGGAAATATTAATATATCGGATACTGTGACCCTTTTTTAATCGAAAGTTGGTAAGGAAAAAAATATTTCGATATTTTATGCTCATTAAATCGATATTCTTTTAAATATATCGGCCTAATGTAATCGGAAAAAAACATGAAAATATAATAACAAGCTAAGAATTTGAAGGGTTATTATTGGAATTATCCAATATCTATAATATCGCTATTTAAAAGATAAATGAAATATTTTTCTATATTAAAAAATATGCTCTATATAAGCTTATAATATTTTCCATATTTAAAATCGGGTTTTCCTCTCAATACATATTCCTAGTTCACATAGATTGTGTGTCAGAATAAGAAATCAGCAAGATTACATTCAGTCAAAAAGTTCTTCATTATATTATATAGTTTAATGAAATTTTTAAATAAGAAATATATGAAATATATCCTTAAGAACCACATCAAAACTAGACTATACTTTGTAGTTATTATTATATTTTTCTCGCAGTGTTGACAAGGCACAGAGTTACAGGGCCGATTGTCGTGCCACTGGGCCGCGCCCCTCGACGACTGCGAAAACGGCAATGGCTAAAGTATATTCATTTGTTTGCCAATCAGCCTGTCAATAATTGTCAACAAGGTGTGACTATGCCAATATTTAATTATTCGATTTCATTCAACGGCAATAACAACAGCAGCAGCCAACAAGCAACAACAATATTAACATCTAAGGCAGTGGCAATAACTTGGCTCACAATCGTACATTTTGTCTAACTGAATTTAAAAGTCACCAACCAAAGGATTTAATATTTAATATAAATTGTATCTATACCTTTGCAGGATATAAAAATTCTGGTAAATACAAGCATAAAACGCATCAACAAGCGAATCTTTCTAGGTATCTGCGGTCAAAAAAGACATTTTTCAGGCATTTTTTATTCTTTTGAAAAAAAAGAAAAGTGGTTGCATTGTAAGAATTTTCAGAAATCGGACAAAAATTCACATTTTAAGTGGAGTATGCAGTTTTATTAATCTGCTAAAAATTAACAAACGAGCGCTTTCCGAATTGAAATTAATGCATTTTTGCCTTAGTTATGGATTTTTTAAATATTGATTTGTCGAAAAAATTTGTATGTAAAAATATAGGTAATATCCATTAAAAAATGGTATTGCACCTTCAGTCGGAAGCTTCAAAGAACGTGAAGGAGTCATTTCCGACCCTATAAGTCATATATATTCTTGATCAGCATCAACAGGCGAATCTTTCTGGGCATAAAAAAAAGAAACTAATTTTTGTCGATTTTTTCAAAAAATTATAAGGGGTTACATCGTAAAAATTGTCAAAATTTGGCAAAATTTTAAAATGTTTTAAACCTTAAATAGAGTATGCAGATTTGTTAACCTTGTAATAACTAACATATGACCGCTTTCCGAATGGAAATTAAAGAGTTTTTGGCTTAGTTATGATATTTTTAAGATTTAGTTAAACAATAAATTGTCACACAAAATATATATAAATATTGTCCCAAGGAATGGTATTTTAAGTTTAGTCAGAAGCTTGAAACTAAGTGAAGGAATCATTTCCGACCCTATAAATCATATATATTCTTGATCAGCATCAACAGGCCAATCTTTCTAGCCATGTAAAAAAGATAACAAATTTTGACAATTTTTTTTTTTATTTTATCGTTAAAATTGGCAAAAACTGACAAAAAATTTTAATTTTTTACATTTTAGATTGAATATGCAGAATTATTAACCTAATAAAAACTTGAATGTGACTGTTTTCCGAATTGAAATTAATGCCTTTTCGACTAAGTTATGAAGTTTTGAAACTACAATTTTTCCAAAAAAAAATTGGCAATTGAAAAGAACTGAAATTTCTGGATCCTATATTTCTAAGATTATACATATCTCAGTCAAAAATGCATTAATATCAATTCGGAAAGTGTTGCCGTGATAGTTTTTATGTGGTTAAAAAATTTGCATACTCAATTTAAAATGTAAGAAAATTCAGATTTTTATAATTTTTTAAAATAAATTTTAACCCCTAATAAAATTTTGAAAAAAATGTTAAAATTTTGTTCCCCCCAAAGATGCCTAGATCGATTCGCCTTTTAATGCTGATCAAGAATATACCTGATTTATAGGGTCGGAAATGATTCCTTCACTACTTTTTAAGCTTTTAACTAAAATACTAACCAAAATGAGCATAATAATAATAATATAAAATTTCGAAAATAAATTGTATTTTCAACATTAAAAAGTGTTTATATTTAATGATATAGTTATCATTGAAGGAGTAAAATATTAACTGCAACCTTGTAATATTGTTAAACTTAATATAATTATATTTCAATGCCTGATCTATAGATCTTATTTAATTTTCATCTAATATTCCTTTTCCTCTTCTATATTTTTGTTGAAAGTATTAAAGAACTTATCGTTCCCGAGTTTCTCATTTGCACAACATTTTTAATGAAATGCCAGAGGAACTCTCGGATCTTGGCGATGTTTTGATGGAACCGAAATAAGGCATTTGGCAATCATCATTCTGGGCCATAAAATCCATTTAGATAATTTGGTGTGTCGGTTATAAAAACCGAGATATAATTGCTCTATAATATAATTTATAGGTATAATTGTCTGAGTGGCAAATGGCTATTTCGAAAATTGAGTTGCCTAATAGGAACAAGTCAAGGGGGAAACGCAAAAAAAAAAAACACAAGAGATATCCCAGTATCGGAAATCAGTAAGACGAGCAGCTTTTGATTGTTATTTTTGATACATATATATATTATATATATGTATATATATATTTTGAATATATTTCGTTTATATTTTGATTCACTCTTTTGTATTTGTAGCTTGAATTCGCGTTGCTTTGTTTTGCTTTTCGGTTTTCTTTTGTTTTCAATGGTTTTTTATCATTTTGCGCATTTAATAATTTATTTATTTGATTGCAAAATCAATTTCAATAATAAATAATACAATAAAAAACTTTCTTTCTTTATGATTTTGTAGTTTTGTTTATTCTCTGTGTGTGTGTGTGTTGTTGTTGTTGTTTTGTTTTTTGATTTTAAGTTTTTGTTCTTTTTAATTGATAAACACTAAGTTTAAGTTATTAGTACAAGTTGTTTTTTAGCTCTTTATCGTTTTATATATTTTTTGCTTGCAATTAATCAATTATTTAAAATTAATCAATCAATTATTAAATATAGAATATATATATAGAATATATATATAAATGTTTATATAAGCTACAAAAAAAAGTCGTCATCGTCATCATCATCATCATAATAATAATAAACATAAAATAATAATAATAAGAATAATTTAATAGAATAAAAAATTAATACAATTTCTTTCTGTGTATGCGGTAAATTTCTTTCATATGTGTGTGTGTGTGGTGTGTATAAATATGTGTACATGGCATTTTTTTGAAATAGTTTCCTCTCTTTGTGATTTTCTCTAACAAATTTTTGTACATAATTATTGAAAATGTTTCGTAAAATGTATTTTTTTTTATTTTATAAAATATAAACAATCTTATAATGTGTATGTGCGTATGTGTGTGTGTAATGTGTGTGAGTAACAATTAGTAGAAAATAATTTCACATTGAAAAGCTGCGTTTTCAATTTCCTTCATTTGCTGCTTTCCGCATTTTCTTTTATTTTTATTTTATTTTGTTTTTATTTTTTTTTGCGAAGAAAACATAAGTATTTTGTTTAAAACTACATTTATTTTTCCATTCAGTCAATCAGTTGAAACGTTTTGGGCTGCCTATCGGCCTATCGATACAAATGTCGATAGGCAGAGAGACATGCAGAGCCATGCGCCAAATGCGTTTACCACTGTGTTTTGTTTCTCATAAATTATATAGATATATATGCGTGTATATATATATGTATATATATAAAAAATATTGTATATATATATGTGTGTGTATGTATATAATCAGAATAATTAGATTTAAGATAATATTCCCATGCGATAGCCGATTATCGATTAGCTCTCATCTCTAACAGCTAACTGCTTCTGCTTTTCTCGCTTTCTGCTTTCTTTGCTTTCTTTTGCTTTCAAATTGCAATTTAAATTTGAATTTAAATGAATTGAAATTTCTTGCTTTTTTTAGTTTTAGTTTTTTATCCTGCCTTCCTTTAAGTATTTTCAATAAGTCAATTTGTTTGTGTTTTTTTAAAACTCAGTACAGTTTTAATTTCGAATTCTTTGTTTTTTTTTGTGTGTGTGCTTGTTTTTTTTAGTTTTTAGTTTTTTTTTTTGTGTTCTTTTTAAATAAATTAAAATTTAATTTTAATGTTCGTTTTGTGTATGGTGGGGGTGTGTGAGGGGGAGTTACGGGAAGAAGAAATTCAGAAAATGCTTTCAATAGAAAAATTCTACGCTGGAGAATTTAAAGCAAACTGCACTGGTTTTAAGCTCCTTTCTCAGGATCACTACTCTTTCTCTCTCACTCTCTATCTCTCTATCTCTATTGCTCCCTCTGTTGCTCTCTCTCTCTATCTCTCTATTTCTCTGGTTTCCCATTTCTGCCTTCATATCATATAATACAAGTTTCCATTTGCTGCCCCTTCAAAGCCAAGTGACGGGACAACAATGACATTCAATGGGTTGGCTCTTTTTGGATCCCAGCTCCCAGAGGATCCCTCGATCCTCTCGAGCTGCTCAGCTGCTGGCGCCAGCGGATCGCTGCTGTTGATGATGCGGCTGACGCTTGTGATGGCGCCGGGAGCGTCTACATTGCGTCGAACAGCACTCGTCCAGTGCCGGAGCAGCTGCATCCGGCTTCTCAAAGAGCCGCCGCTTGCTGGAGACACGCGTCTGCTGTTGCTGCTGCTGGCATGTGGAGCGGGAGCAACGTTTGCGGTCACAGTTCACCTTGGAGTCCTTTGGGAAAAAGGAAAAAAAGGAAAAGAAAAATATTTCATTAGTGAAAATGTAATGAAAACATGGTAAAAATTCGCAAAAACAAGTTTATCGATTAATCTCTAAGCGAAATTAATCGATAAATCAATCAAATTGAAATTTCGCAACAAAAAGTTAATCGATTAATTTGAATTAATCGATAAACCAATCGAATTACTTTAGATAGCTTAAAATATAGACTCTTGACACTCACCTTGCAGCGGCACTTGATGCACTTTTGCTCGCCATGGGACATGAGGATTGGATGCCATTCCTGACCATTCTCATAAACCTTATTGACCACCTTGCAGCCACCGTTGGCCAGGATTTCCTCGGCTGTATGACTTGGTGATCGTTGCATTGCCTGATCCTGCAACACATTTGGATTGTTTGGTGTCGTCTTGTGGCCACCAGAGCTGCTCTGCTTCCCCTCGGGACAGACCTTGCAGCAGGCCTTCTTATCGGGACGATAGGCAAGCTTCTCGCTGCACTGCAGCGGTGGGCAGACGAGCCGAGGACAACGGATCTCCAAAGTCAAGGGATCACAACTGCAGGTGGTGCAGGTATCGAAACCATTGGGCGGCAGGAAGGGATGCCAACTGGCACCGGCGGGATGGAATTGTTCACCCAAGCGGCAACCTCGTCGTTGCTGCAACAGATCCGTGGCATTGGTGGCCGGTGAACTATCGCCACCGAGGAGGATCGAGGAGGAGGAGGAGGAGGAGGAGGATAACCCGGAGGAGATGGCAGCCACTTCCCTCTTGGGCACACAGCTGGGACAGCACTCACCCTCACGCTGGAAGAGCTGCTCCGTGGCAGCCTTGCACTTGAGGGCAGGGCACTTGATCACCTCGCAGCTGGATTGACCACGAAGGCAGGCACACATCTGGCACTGATCCTGGGCACTTCTCCACTGCTCCGACTCATTGTAGAAACGTCCAGAGTGGAAGCACTTGGTCTCCCCAGTGACCATATGATTGTCATTGTGATCTCCCGGCACGGGCACATTATTATCCGTATAAACTGGGAAACAGTGATTCGGCACCTTGGTGCTCTTCAGCTTGCCACGGAGCAGGAGTTGCTTCGTATGCTTCGAGTGAACCTCCAAATAGCAGACACTAATCTCCAATTTGATGAGCTCCGCCGAGGGCATGCTTAGGAAGAAACCTTCCAAATAATTGCCATTGAATTCTTCCAGTAATTTTCGCGTCACAGGAGCACCAATTGCTTCGATGGGTTTCTCCTCCAAATAAAGTTGCAGATCCTGAGCGGGAACACCATTGAGAGTCACCTCATAATGCAGATTGCATTCATTATCAATGGACATCCAGGCCATGCCAACAGCATGTGGATTCTCCGAGTGCTCCTGTCGCTTCAGGAGAATGGGTTCCGCGGAGTCACGGGCATCGGCAACGGGACGTGGGACAAGACGACCACGAATCAGACTGGTTTCATGCTCGGTGGCTACATTGACGCCCAATTCGCCGGCATAGAGGGATTCAAGAACCTTGGGTCCCAGTTTCTCCACACTTCCAATGGCCTGATTGAAGTTAAAACTCGGTGTAAGATCCTCCAGCTTGGCCTTGCGCTTTCCTTGTTCCTCAATTAAGCTAATGTTGGGTCTATCCCGGGTATTCACATGCTCCGTCTCAATGTTGTAGGCCAAAGAACCATCGGTATTCAGATAGACCCAAGCCAGACCACTGCTCTTGGTCGCAGAATCCGGACTATGAGGAGTCAGTAAAGTTTGGAAAATCTCACAACTGGCACGGGTCACAATATGTCCCTGAATGCGCAATTGAGGATACTTTTTGGACTCGACAGTGAGCAGGAGTTTACCCCTCGACATGAGTCGTAGGTTTTGTATGGAAATGGGCGAGGATAGTTCCAGGACATTGATCTCGGCGGAGGGTTTACGCACTCGTGGAATCTCATCAAAGACCAACTCTTTGCGTTCCGGCAGCTCGATCCTAACACTCAAGGCGGCATCGGCAAACTCTTCTGCCCCAAAGACACCATTAAAGACCAGGGTTAGATGCATGGATGAGGCTGCTCCACTGCTGGTGGACACAATGGCTGTACCACCGGCTCCTGCCAGTTGAGGATCAGCTCTGCCATTGGTTGTCTGTGGTGGTTCCAGCAACGAACTAAAGAGCTCTGTCTGCAAAGCCGTATATTTGGCCACCTTTCCAGCCAGGGCTAATTCAGCCTGATGTTTATTGCCCCACAGGAGGACCACATGGAGACGATCGTCACGAAGGATACGCTTGTAATCCCTGGGCACACGTCGCCAGACACCGCATATCTTGCCCGTGGCATTCTGATAGACACTTAGTGTCCCCGCCAGTGTGGTCTCTAGTTGATGTTCTTCCAGGATTACACCAGCATCGTCCACAAATTGAATGGCCCGAGGACGACCGATACGCGATGAGGTGTAAAAGGAATAGTAGAGGTTCTTTTTGTGAAACAAAAAGCGAGCGGTGGCCACCACATTCTGTGGATTGTAGGTGGTGTACATGGATTTCATTTCCTCACCCTTGAGGAAGTAGGAAGTGCGGCCCGTGAGTAGCGCAGCGTAATCTATAAAAAAAGGGTTAAAAAAGTGGGTTAGGTTACAGTGTTAATATAGGGTTAATATTTAGGAGATACATCTTAAAGATACTTGGGAAGATAGACCCAAAGATCGTGTCTTTTAAGGCACTTTTGATCAAGTAATTAACTATAATTGAATTATTTAATATTCATCCAAATCTTTTGTCTTTATTAAATGTATCTTTAGGTGCATCTTTAGGATTTCCTGTAGGGTTTCCTTAGGGATTTCTTTTGGTAATTTTCCTGGTAGCGGTGCTTTGTACTTACGTTTCATGTTGCGCTCTTCCTCCTCGTTGGGCACCGGCACATCCAAGGCCACATCCGTATCTGTAAGATATCAAAGAGAAGAATGAATACAAGGATGAGAGATGCTGGGCGATAAGCTATACAGTTCGACCTTAAATGGAATTTAGATATAAGCCAACAACAAATGCTTCGAAAAGCAAAAAAAAAAAACCCAATGTGTGTTCGTTCCCCTCTCTCTCTCAACCATTCATTCAGAGTTTCGATTGAATGAAGGTGAAGCCGGTAGGCGGATGCCAGGGGATCATGCTCATCCATGAATGAGGCCAGGCCAGGTAGGGAGTCTAACCTGAGCCCTGAAACCCAGGTGGCATTTCCATTAATCGTGCATAAATTTGGTGGGCAGGTAGGCAAAAAAAGGTGCTTTCCCGGAATCCACATGACACTGGGACCTCTTTTTTATTCTTTGGCGTGAAAGTAGGTGGACACATTTCCGCTGTCCCGCTGATTGACACCCGGTCAGGGAGGCAGAAACATAAATCACCATTACCATCCAGAAGACCGACAAAAGCTGATTAAAGCCCAGCTCCAGCTCCTTCCAACTTCCCTACTCCTCCTGTCAATGGCATTTCGATTATTTTTATGCTGTTCTGGAGAGAGAATAAAAAAGAAGAAAACCCCCTAAGTTGCAGAAAATAAAAAATAAACGTAAAGAAATACAGAGAGCTGGGTATCGCATAATGAAGGGCGACAAATCTGACACCTTGTATAGCATTTTATTGAGAGACCCAGACGCGGCTCCAGCTTGAGATACCAGGTTCAGGCTCCGACTCCGACTCCGAGGTCCAGGTCTTGAGTCTTGAGTCTGGAGTCTGCCTCTGTGGCTTCTGCTGTCCGATCTTATCGCCTGATCTTAATACGAGCCACTTGGCCAGCCAGTTTTGGCCTTAACTTGAGCCTCAGCCTTTCTGGCTTTTCAATTTGTGGACTCTACATTCTTGGGGCTTATTGGTGTATCTTCTCTGCCCTTGAATCGCATTTGCAGATGAATGAAATTTTCGTTCTTCTTTATTTTTGTTGTAAGGCCAAGATAAATGAGTTTTGGTGAGCACAAAGACGACGACACGTTGCCGCATAACGTCGAGAGAGGGGGTAACCGATGGACATCATGGCTTGGAGGTGGAGAATTTTATAGGGTAGGGGGTTTAGGTACGAATGCCGACAAAGCCAGCCCAGTAAGCCAGAAAGACCGAAAGACAAACGACACCTTTTTGGTATTGAGTCAACGCTTTGGTATGTGGGGTCGGCCCCAAAGAAAAAAAAAAGAGAGAATCTCGACGGCAGCTCATTAACAAAAAAAAGATCAGAGAAAAATTAAGGCAGAGAATCAGATTGGAAAAAGATATATGTATGTGTGGTTATAAAGATCAAACTTAAGATCAGATGGGAATATAAAAGATCAGTCTTTTTGTAACCTGTGACTATTAAAAGTTGATCCCAGCACTTAGGATCAACCATGATCGCACTCTATTAACTAGAACCACCCCAAAACCAAACCGATACAGACCATGGAATAGCCTAGCAATTATGGTAAGACCTCTATCTCTCTCTCTCTTACTCTCTCTCTTACTCTATCTCTTTATCTCTCTTTCTTTCCCTCTATCTCCCTCTGTATCCCATAGATGAGCTTTAGGTTAAGGTTAACAATTTGGTTTAATAAGAAGCCTGAAGACTAGAAGGATTTTAAGGGGACCTTAAAGGGGTCTTTGGGTTCTTTTAAGATCTCTTTCTGTCCCTTTAATCAACACAATTCGATTTGGCCCAAGACCGGACACCTTGTTAGCTCTATTTCTTAGCCTTATCGCGGGCCACAATCGCCACTTAAGGTTGAGGAGAACAAAAAAAAACCCAAGAGAAGAGAAATAAAAAAAAACTGGGAGAGTGGGAACATAATAGACAGTTCCGTTGCCGAACCGATAAAGATAACGATACAGATAAAGATAAAGTCAAAGATTTTATTGTCTCGATGGCGCAGCTCACGCCTGGCCATAAAAAATGAATTTTTTTCGGCCCCGATACTCCGATATCGAGATCCTTTTGTGGCCACCACAAAGTTGCTGCTGCTGATAATCAAGATCCAGATTGGAGATTGGAATCCGGCTCTGAGCCAAGGGAAAGGGCATGTCCAAAAGGGGATGGACTCTTTCTGAGACCAAAAAAAAAAATATGTCATCAAGTTGAATCTCTCTCTCTTTGTGAAAAAACATCAAGTTTTATTGTCTACCTGAGGGGATATATACGCTGGGACCGCCCGCCGTTTGTGGCGGCAAATGAGATAATTTAATAAGCGTTAAAATGCTCGAGTTATGTCATTATAAAAATGAACGAACCACAGAAAAAAAAGAAAGAAATAATGTAATGCCTGCGCATAAATTAAGCGCAAAACGCGGGCGGGAAAGGAGCTGGCATCGATTGGAATCGTTCGGGAATCGATCGATTGGAAGCTGGCCAAAAGATGCGAGAATCCCAAAATGGACATTCAACGACAAAGAGACAGAAGGCAATTGTTGATGTTGATTATATGTATGGCCATGTCATGGGCTTTCGAGGAGCATCGTGGAGCCTGACAACTTGCCCAGGACTTGGGCCTTAAAAATACAGTAGAGACTCGATAAGGTGATCGAAAGTAGCTATAACTTTGTATATATATAAATCTAGGGAGAATATATATAACTTTATATATATATTTTACCTTTTGTATATCTTCATTACAAGTAATCCCAGGATTTTTTGTTTAAAAACTTCTCTTAAGATCAAAAGAAAAAGCTTCTACTATATATATAAATCAGGGAGAATATATAGAACTTTATATATATAGTTTACCTTTTGTATATCTTCATTACAAGTTATCCCAGGATTTTTTGTTTAAGAACTTCTCTTAAGATCATAAGGAGTAGCTTCTACTATATATATAAATCAGGGAGAATATATATAACTTTATATATATATTTAACCTTTTGTAAATCTTTAATACAAGTTATCCTACGATTTGTTGTTTTAGAACTTCTCTTAACTATTTTTCTTAAGATTTCAAGACATTTCAGAACTCTTCCAGCTAGTTCAAAACCTATATATCTTCATTACTACTTTTCCTAGAACTTTAGTTTAAAAACTTCTCTTAACTATTATTGCAAAGATTTTAAGACATTTCAGAGACTCTTTAAGCTTTATTTTCCACATTTCCTTTAAAAATATCTGCAAATTCTTTTGGAATATCTTGCTTAAACCCCATTTTACATGGAATTTTCTTCCAGTGCACACATAATATGCGGACTATGAGGCAAAAAACCCAAGTTAGGCAAAAAATAACTTTGGAAGCGATCGTTTCAGGCTGTTGCCTGTTTGGCTTTGTGGCTTTTGCTGCCTGCTGCCTGCTGCCTGCAAAATATTTGTACAATAGCCATGGCTTCACTGAGATGGCTAACTGAGATGGCCAAGATGGCTAGCTGACTGCGTGAGAGCCAAAGAGTCTCCGAGTCTCGCATGGAAAAGCCGCGCCCGTGCCTTCTAACTATTTATGGCAAACGAGTTGGGAGTTTTGCAAACAACAAAAACACCCAGAAACCAAAAAAAAAAAAAAATATATATATATAAAGAAAAAACTATCTAGTTATATATAAAGAAAAAGCAAAGGAAATTTAAGGAAAATTTCCCAAAAAGGAGGAAAAGTGAAATTGTTTGGTTTGTTGGTTAAGAAAGGTCTCGAGGGTCAACGTCTCTTTGCATAAGCAAATGAAAAATTGCCGCAAAACGGAAACTAATGATGTGCTGCAACAGACCCCTTTAACCCCTTGATGCCTGCTGCCATCCCATTCCCGTTTTCCAACCAGTTTTGCCACACAGCAACAGGCATGCAACAACATGCAACATGCATGCAACAACATGCAACATAGCTGGAAAAAGACTGGAATCCAGGCAGCACTTGGTCTGATTATGTGAAAAATGTCACAGAGAAATCTCTCTCTCTCGGTGAGAATTTTGACCAAATATTTGGGGAATATATATTATATATATCCCTGGTAATTGGTCTATTAGTTAGGCACGTGCGCCCCCAATGGGGGACCACGGCAAATACTTGAAATACTCTTTGCCTGTTTTCAATAATATTGCCACCAGAAATCAGGCGCCATTCGGGCGATATAAAATAGATTGCAAATAAAACACACACAGAGAGTGTGTGTGTGAGAGAGCAGAGCAGAGCACAATAAATAAATGAAAAAGCCACCAAAAGTAGTGTATATAATATATATAATATATATAGTAGAAATCATCAGACTCTGAGACATAAAAACGAAATATAAATTGCGTAGCGTTGACCTTCATTTCGGGCCAAGTAATTTTTCATAAACAATTTACGCGTTTCGGCCAAGTCCGTGGATATATATATATATATATATATATATATATCTATATAGATGCTATATAGTCAAAGATCGAGGCAGCTGGCATCGCTGTTACGCTTAATTATTCATACCAGACAAGAGATATGGCAACGAATCGGTGTCTAATCCCGATTTATATTAGTAAAAACCATTGGCTATGTCAAAATATTGAAACATTATGCGGAAATTATGATTCTCGGGGAGGGAAAATATATTGGAAATGGATTTTTTCTAAATGAAATTGAGTTGAGAGGGTTTAAGCTATGAAAGTACAAAGTATCTTTGAGATACCTTTTCCTTGAAGCATTTGTTGGGCTTGTTAATATATTTATTATATATAATATATATACTATTATTAAGTGGACTTACCGTTTCGATCGCCGGGACAGGTCTTGCAGCATTTTCCAGGCAGAGAGATGGGATCATCGCATTTTGCTGGCGGACACTCGTTCTTGATATTGCGACACTGAACGCGTGCAACGATGCGGCGTTTCTTAGGTATCTACAAAAAATAATAAACATAATAAATAATAATAAAAAATAAATAAATAAATATATATAGAAAATAATACTATAAACTAAAACCTAGAAACAAAAGAAATACAAATTAACTGGCACCCAAGAACTAAATAAATACAAATTAATTGGTACAAATATAGAATTGCCCTCTGTATTATCTGTTTATTTTTTTCTGTTAATAATTATTTTTTTAAAAATTTATACATATATATGCCGCCACTCTGCTTTTTGATGTTTCTCTCTCTTGGCTTTTTTTATTATTAATTTTTATTGGTCGCCGTCGCCGTTGCCGTTGCCTTAAAGTTCAACAGCAGCAACATGTTTTAAATAATTTTATGATGTGCTCATTTGCGACGCTTGCAGGCGACATAAATTATAATTAATTAATTTCAAAGCTGACTTTTATGCAATGCACATTAAAAATTAAAGCAAGCAAAAGAACGGAGTAATAATCTATCTATAGAGATGCGTCTGGTCCATCGCAGACTAGCAACAACAACAAGGAGAGGCAATTAATTTCTGTCAAGCAATTTTTACCGATACACCGATTTGGATTCGGATAAGTTATATATATAGGTATATATATATATATATTTGACGCTGTTATTCGAGGACACCGACAAGTGTGTGTGACATTTTTATGTGTCGCTTTCGATGGGAAAATGGTCTTGCCCTCGCCACGCCCCCTGTTTCTTCTTGGCACTGCAACATGTTTGTATTTATTTATTTTGTATTTTGTATTTTGTAGTATTTTTTTTTTTGCGTAATTCGATCGAACAGCCACGATTTTGTTTTTCAATTTGAGCGAAATGTCTGGGCAAGGCTATAGGAATATTTTGGCTCTGATTCGTAATATAGAAAGCATAAAGCTTTCAAATCGATATTAATCATGCGTGGAAATGCCATAAATTAAGCGCGTCCAAACTGAAAACACAATCATTTTCATTTGCCGACGTCTTTTAGCATTTTTCCTGCTTGGCTTTTCCTCGTTGTACCCAGTGTGTCGACGGTCATTAGTCAATTTTTTATTTTTTTTGTATATTTGTTTGCTATTTTGCATCTGAGGGGGATTTTTCAACTGACCAATCGAGGGTTTTATAAATTGTGCATATTTTCTTAGGTTTTAGGTACGTTTTCCTGTGATTTTCGACAAGTTAGGTACAGTTTTTCAAAGGTTAGGTACATTTCTAGGCGAAGTTCTGAATGTATTATATATAATTTTTGTAATTTTTTAACTGGTTAATCGAGGGCTTATTTCTTGAGATCTTTCCTATATGATATAGTGACTTTGTACCTAAGTTGAGTACATTTCTGCTACATTTTAAGTTATACAAATGTACCTAATTTCAAGAAATTGTTTCCGTGTCTTTTTTTTAATTCTTTGGATTAATATTTATATTATTTTTTAATTTTTGAACTAAGCAATCATAGCTTTATCTCTTTAATAATCTCCTAAGACTTAGGTACAATTTTAGTAGCAGTTTTAAGGTTTGTTGCCTAGTTCTTTGATATTTTTTGGGTATATAAATTTAAAAAAAATAATAATAGTAGTAAAATGTGTATAAATAACTTACCGCCACGCATTCGCATTTAATGCAGTACATAACGCCAAAGGGTGGACCCAAATCCGCATACCAGGTCGAGCCCAATTCACGCAGGACCTTGCCAAACTGACATTCGGTAACTAAACAAAAGGAAAATAAATAATCAATAAGTAAATCAATAAATAAATCATATAAATAAAAAATATAAATAGATATATATATATAGAAATATAAATGAAAGCCATTCAAATACGTTTCCTCAATTGCCATTTAAGATGTGTGTGAACTCTCGAATGTTTATTGCAATTTTTGCCATTTTATTTTCAGGTTGCTGGCGCCAGTCAGCAATGCAATTGCCCATATATATATATATATGGGAAAATATATATATTTATATGGAAAAGCTATAGCGACGGCAACAGCCGATGCCTATATATCAACGCCGATGAGCCAGAGCGAGGTTAATAATAATAATGAAAAGCCATAAGCGACAGAGACGCCCACAGGCAAGATCCCAAACCAAAGCCAATCGATCAGCAACTAATTAACTTCAATCGAGAAAAAAATAAACTAAAAAACGAGGCTCCCCAGTTGGAAAATGCAGGCCCATCCAGGCAGCAGTTTATCGTCTGTCATTTTCACGTTTTTCTTTTCTCTTTTTTTTTTTTTTTGTTTTTTGCATTGGGTTTCGCCACGGTTTCGGGTGGGCGATTGCCATGCAATCAGAATTCGAATCAGAATCGGAATTGGTATCGGTAGTATATATAAATATATAAATATATATATATATATAGAAATAGAGAAAGAAGCAAAAAACCTGGCGCCACATTCGCTGAGAGGCGTTGAGTCGCTTCCGGCAGCGTTTTCAATTACAAATGCAAGTCGGACGGTACACCGGAAAAAAACCAAAAACTACCTATAAAGACCTTTGAATTTAATATAAGAAAAAATCTAGAAAAATCCAGCACACTTTAAAGTTAATTATACAAATTTTTTAAAGGTAATTCAATGCAAGATAAACTCTTTGCTTTCAGTGTAACTAAGCAGAAGCTGCCTCTCAATGGGGCGCCAAACAAGTGTCAAATTGTGGGATTAACTTGGTATTGGAATAAAAAGAAAAATAACGTAGATCTGCAGCATCCAATTTAGATTAGAGATGAAATTTCATTAGCAGCATTTCGATTTCGATATCGATTTGCTATTCGATTTCGACTTTTGTTAATTGGCTGCGCGCGAGCGGCAAAGAAAAATAAATAAATACAAACTTTGCACAAAATGCCACAAATCGTATGCAAATCGGCAAATGCGACGCGTTAAATTATTAATATATTTAGAAATACCGACAAACACTCGCACACACACACACACACCACCTCGCCGGTGTCTCGGCAAAATTATGCTAAAACTTTTGGCGCCACTCATAAAAAATGTAAACGAAACAAAAAAAAAGATACAAAATGCCGACAACAAAAGCTGGCAACTGGCAGCCAAAGAGAGAAAACAAAAAACAATAAAACAAATCAAATCAAGCAGGCAAAGGCCCAAAATTGGTAGCTTCTCATAGTTGTTGTCGTCTGGCAATGATATTTAATTAAATTAAACCAAAAAAAAAAAGCGGCGAAAACGGCAATCGGCGAGCGGAAACGCGGCCAACACGCGCCGAAAACGCCAGGGAAACGCCTCAAGTCGCGTCAAGAACGCGAGGAAAACGCAAACGAAAAAAAAGATGTCACAACTTTCAATTGATTTTTCTAATACTTTAAAAGCCGGCAAAAAATGTAGTAAAAATTTACAAGAAGTAGCAAACAATGATAATTTTTATATACTAAAAATAACATTAATTTAACTTTTGCTTATATACATTTTCTTGGCTACATTTTTCGCTGCGTGTATCTCCAAACTCTCGCCCCAAGTTGACACCTGTTTGGTTTGGCTCCCCCGCGGTTATCGCACACATCATTCACAATTCCCATATCTTGGCCATGCCATATCATGCTACCCTCTGATAATCACATTTGTTTTCGGTAGGTAAAAGGAAAAGAATAAAAAAGAACTAGAGACTATAAACTACAAGTAATTAGCTAAATACACGTGATGGCCTCAAAACCATAAGGTAATGGGAAAACCCAAGTGAATCTCAAGAGTAATATCATAATGTATCCACCAGTGAATTCACTGATTCCGCCGGATCTTCTAACGGCGCCATGGCGTATACGTGATAAGTGGCGCTAACGACGCGCGACGTTTATCAATTTTTTTGCTGTTGTTGTTGTCATTGGCGCCAGAGCTTTGCTTTATTTGCGTGCGAAACAATTTAAATACACACCATATATACTAAGCAGAAGAGAGATCACATCGGATCGGTACGGATCGGAGGAGATATAAGCTATATAGAGCGATAATCCTCTGCTGCTGCTGCTCTGATCATTAATCATATTGCAAGTCTTGATCTTCACGGGCATGTCACACAATTCACAGAAAAGTGTCTCGCATAATAATCAAATTAATTAAATTTCATTTCAAAATAGGTGATTTTTCTTTCAATTAAATTAAGATTTTTTAAATGCAAAAAAAATGGGCAAAGCAAGTTTGATGATGATTTTGAGTCAAACAATAATAGATATCAAAGCAAATGATATTATTTTCTAAAGATATTTCTCTAAATATTAATATTTATTTTAGAATTGAAGCATCTAAGTATCTGTTCCTAAGTAGAAATTGAAACCATAAAGATACCAAATTTAATTGGGGAAATTATAAAATAATGGTTCAAAAATTCCCCCCAAAAGTGATTCTTTATATATAACATATATATATATTCTTATATATGTTTAGTACATACATCTTGGACGCTATCTCTCGCTCCTGACACTCCACTTCCTGTTTTGAACCTCAGCTGTTATTATTATTATTGTGTTTGCCACAATTTGTCTAGACACTTGATGTATGACCGCGAAACAAAACAAAAAAAAAACAAAAAAATGAAATACAAAAAAATGCGGCCAATTTTGGTTCGCTGTGATTTGTGCAATGAATTATTATTTATTTTTGCACTTGGGATTCGATTTGAGATTGATGGACAAGCTTGAATGGAAACAGAGCAGAGCAAAAGAATGCGCAAAATATTTACAAAACAAAATTCCAAAAAATATAGTCAAGAAATATTTGTGAAAAAATATTCATGAAAATATTCGAAAAAAAATATTCAAAATATTTGCAATAATAACATATGTGAGAAGGAGGCGAAACAAGTGCATTACCCAGTAGATTTATTTTTAAAATTTAAATAATATTTACCCCCACTAGATTTTTCCTATTTCAGTTCCTTTTTTTTTGCAGTGCATTGACTCGCAAGAAAAGTGCAACAACTGTTTTTTTATTTGTGGTTTTTCCTTGCTCGAAAGTGTCTGCGGCATACGAATCATTAGCAAACAAATGTTAAAAATACTGAAAAACCAAGCCACACACACACACACCCCTTTATGTTGCAACATCCAGGCTGACAGGCGACAAAAGTGATTTGGAAAAATGGTTTTTCAAAAATATATTTCAAGGCTTTAAATGGGAGTTTCATATTTAAAACAGATTGTTTGCCTTCAGTTTGTTTTAAATATTTTAAAAATAAGGCTCAAACACGATCAAATTGGAAAAAAACAGATATTTGAAAACTCAAAAACGTTTGGAAAACAGTTTTCAAGTTCAAAATTTAAAAGGAAATTAAACAAGTTACTTTTAATAATTTAAAACCCCTGCAAAAATTCCAAAAAAACTTTTCGAAAACTCCCTAAAATCTGGGCAATTATTTTCAAAACTAGTTTCGAATATTTTTCAAAAACTTTTTAAACCTAGAAAAGTGTTTGACATTTTTGTGACCTGAACAAACTAAAGCTACAATGTGCTAATTACAGTCAGTCAGTAACAGGACCAAGGAGCAAATAGGGGGGGCATACGTACATATATAGTGAGATAGATAGATAGATACATGTGTCATCAGGAAAATGGACCAAAAGATTTTCCGATGCCAGGCACTAGACGCTGACTCACATGACGCAGAACCAGCAGCGGCGTCGAATTGTCGGCTATTTTTTGTGTGTGTTTTGTAGACATATAGATACAACCCATAGACATATATATATATACATATATATTTATACATATATATATATATAGAGTAGTATATATATACAGGGACAGAGCGAAAAGTGCCTTTGAAAATTTTGGCGCTCGTACGCGCTTTTAATTGAGTTAAAAGATCAGCACAGATCGGTTGGATATATAGCTGTGCGAAAATATATAGACCAGGCCGAAGCTGTTTTCATTTATCTATATATCTATCTGATATACATATATATAATATATATTATATATATATATATATACGCCTTTCTATACATTTATTTATTTGCTCATTTCGTTTGCTGCCGCCGATGCTCTTGTTTAATGTTATTTTTATTTTGCGCCTTAATTAATTGTGGCAAAATAATTAGCGCAAATGTTAAAGCTCAACGCTGGCCATCATAAAATCGAATGAAATGCAAAAAAACAAAAAAAAAAACAGTATAAAAACGTGAGACTTAACGAGGCGAAGTGTTATTTCAAGAAATATATTTTTAAAAAGAATATAAATTTCTTTGCTCTGATTTTCATCAGAGAAAATGGTTGACAGCTACGAGTGTTGAGCTGTCAATCAGTCCATCAGGCAATCAATCAATCGATCGTTTTTGATCGAAATGAATAAAGTTAAATGCCGCGGCGGCAAACAACAAAAAAAATGGGAAAATGGGAAACGCGGCGATAAAACTAAATGAAATATTTGTTCAAATGGTTCACCAACGCAACTTGTTTGTTTTATAAGCAATTAAATTATTTAAGTGCAAAGCAAACAAAGTCAAAATGCCTCTAGCCTGGCCTTTACTTCACTTTTCTTTTTCTCGCCCCCCTTTCTAGTTTTTCCCCCCTTGCTTTTCTTTATTTTTGGGGACACGCCAGTTCTAATGAAGATTTCTAATGGTTGATTAAGTGCGTCGAGCAGAAAGAGTGCACGGAAAACAATGGAATATGTTGTATATTACAATATAAACATTATAAAAGTAAGTTGTAATATATGATTTTTTAATAAGTTTTGTACTTTTGAATACAA